AATTTTATTGTTATTCAATTAGTTGTTCCCATTTTTACCCCATTACTCTCCCCTGCCCTACCCACCCCCCACCGCCCACATTCATTTCTCCTTGCTACCCATTGTCTTTGTTCATGGGTCCTTTATACACATTTCTTGATTTGACTCCTTCCCATTAGCTCCCTCCCCCACCCCTCTGGTTACTGTCAGTTTGTTCTTTATTTCTGTGTCTCTGGTTATAGTTTTATCGGTTGTTTGTTTTGTTGATTAGTTTCCACTTATAGGTGAGATCATATAATATTTGTCTTTCACCACCTGGCTTATTTCACTTAGCATAATGCTCTCCAGATCCATCCATGTGGTTGAAAAGGGTAGGAGTTTTTTCTTCCTGTTTTGTAGTATTCCATTGTATAAATGTATCGTAATTTTTTGATCCACTCATTTACTGATGGGCACTTAGGCTGTTTCCAGCACTTGGCTATTGTAAATTGTGCTGCTATGAACATGGGGGTGCATAGGTTATTCTGAATTGGCGTTTCAGGATTCTTAGGGTATAATCCCAGCACTAGAATTGCTGGGTCAAAAGGTAGTTCCAGTTTTAGTTTTCTGAGGAAATTCCATACTGTTTTCCACAGTGGCTACAGCAGTCTGCATTCCCACCAACAATGCACTAGGGTTCCCTTTTCTCCACATCTTCGCCCATACTTGTTTGTTGATTTATTTATGATGGTGTGAGATGGTATCTAGTTGTGGCTTTAATTTGCATCTCTCTGATTAGCGATGCTGAACATCCTTTCATATGTCTCTGGGCCCTCTGCATGTCCTCTTCGGAGAAGTGTCTGTTCAGGTCCTTTGCTTACGTTTCAATTGGATTTTTTGTTTTCCTGGAGTAGAATTGTGTGAGTTCTTTATATATTTTGGAGAGCAAACCCTTTTCCAAGGTGTCATTAGCAAATATATTTTTCCATTCGGTTGGTTACCTTTTCATTTTGTTGGTGTTTTCTTTAGCTGTGCCGAAGCTTTTTAATTTTAATAAGTCCTATTTCTTTATTCTTTCCTCTATGTCCCTTGCTCTAGGGGACATATCAGTGGAAATATTGTTGCATGGAATATCTGAAATTTTTCTGCCTGTTTTCTCCATTAGGACTTTTAAGATGTCATGACTTACATTTTTATTTCCTTAAAAAAAAAAGAACAACCAACTTGCTTCAATTCACCAACATCAGCAATTACTGCTATGGCTCTATGTTTGAAGACATTGTCATTTGAATGAAGTTAATCTTTTTTTTTCTTTTTTTTAAATATATTTTATTGATTATGCCATTACAGTTGTTCTATTTCCCCCTTCATTCCCCTCCACCCTGCACACCCTTCCCCCACCATTCTCCCCTTTAGTTTATGACCACGTGTCTCAAGTTCTTTAGATTCTATATTTCCCCTACTATTCTTGCCCTCCCCCTATCTATTTTCTACCTACCTTCTATGCTACTTATTCTCTGTACCTTCTCCCCCCTTCTTCTCCCACTCCCCTGTTGCTAATCCTCCATGTGATCTTCATTTCTATGGTTCTGCTCCTGATCTAGCTGTCCTCTTAATTTGCTTTTGGTTTAGGTGTGGTTCTTAATAACTGTGAGTTTTCTGTCCTTTCACTGTTCATCTTTTTTATCTTCTTTTTCTTAGATAAGTCCCTTTAACATTTCATATAATAAGGACTTGGTGATGATGAACTCTTTGAATTTGATCTTATCTGAGAAGCACTTTATCTGTCCTTCATTATAAATGAAAGCTTTGCTGGGTAGAGCAATCTTGGATGTAGGTCTTTGGATTTCATGACTTGAAATACTTCTTTCCAGCCCCTTCTTGTCTGTAAAGTCTCTTTTGAGAAATCAGCTGACAGTCTGATGGGAACTCCTTTGCAGGTGACTGTCCCCTTATCTCTTGCTGCTTCTAGGATTCTCTCCTTCATTTTAATTTTGGCTAATGTAATGATGATGTGCCTTGGTGTGTTCCTTCTTGGGTCCAACTTCTTTGGGACTCTCTGAGCTTCCTGGATTTCCTGGAAGCCTATTGCCTTTGCCATCTTGGGAAAATTCTCCTTTATTATTTGTTCAAATAAGTTTTCCATTGGTGGCTGTTCCTCTTCCCCTTCTGGTACCCCTATAATTCGAATGTTGGAACGTTTAAAGATGTCCTGCAGGTTACTAAGCCTCTCCTTATTTTTTTGAATTCTGGTTTCTTCATCCTTTTCTGTTTGGTCATTTTTTTCCTCTTTCTGGTCCACTCCTTTGATTTGAGTCCCAGTTTCCTTTCCATTACTATTGGTTTCCTGTACATTTCCATTCATTTCAATTAGTTTACCCTTCATATGTGCCTCTAATTTGTGACTAAAATCAACCAGTTCTCTGAGCATCCTGATCACCAGTGTTTTGAACTGTGCATCTGAAAGTTTGGCTATTTTTTGGTTGCTTAGATTTATTGGCTCTGGGGCTCTGAGTTGTTCTTGAGCCATGTTTTAATCTGTTCATGCCTGTTACCTATGAGGAGCAGAGCCTTAGGTGTTCACCAGGGCAGGGCTACCCAGGTCACTGGTTTGTGACACTGTATGTGGGGCGGGATCAGAGAGGGACAATAGATCAGATCAGAGAATCTGTCGCTTCTCGCCACTGGGGCCTGCACGGTCTGTCTCACTGCTCACTCCTTCACTGGTTTATCTGCACGCGACTGTGTGACCGTGGTCAGCCCTCAGTGAGTCCACTGCCTTGCGCCCTCAGTGGGTCTGCTGCTACTCCACACCTGGGATCTGCCCACGGCTGCTGGCATGTCTGGGTTGCACACCCTGGTTGGTCTGGTGGATCTTTCCTGCCTGACCTCGCTCTGCTGCTGGCTCTGCCCCCCTTACCGATTTGGCTGAAGGGTTCGTTGTTGTCAGACTTCCATATAGTACAGTTTTCTGTGGTTTGGCTGCATTTTTGTCATTCAAACTTTGTTGTTTTTAAACTTGGTTGTGCGAGAAGGTACAGTGCTTCCACCTACAACTGCATCTTGGCAGAAGTCCCCCGAATGAAGTTAATCTTAACTCTGAATTCACCTCTCAACGAGTTTGTAAAAAAATCCATCTCAACAATCAATAGAGCTCCTTCAGAAGGTTGCAACAAAATCAGAGGCTTACATTGTTTTGGGATAAATGGGGAAGAGTGCTTATGTCAGCTGTCTTGGTATTCTGTGGCCCTAAACTAGGACCTTAATGACAGATGGCTCTCTCTATTGTGGGATACAGAAATCCTGACCGTGACAAGAAACCAGCCTCCAGTGACACACTATATAGCATTCCTCTGAGCCCTTGCTGTCGCCCTGGAGCTATGACATAGGACTGCTAGGATTCACTGACATCTCTTCTATTCCCTTTGAGAATGCTTCCATGCTTGCTTCCAGAAACACTCTTCCCTGCCCCTCCCCATGCCACCATTCTCAGTTGCCAAAAATCTACCCTTTTTAATGGAAACAAGAATTAGAAAGAATGAGGAACCAGGCTGAAGAAAAGGGCTAAAACTGACCTTTAGTGCATCTTCAACACCAACTTGGCTAGTGAGTAAATAGCTAATAAGGATTTTACTGTGGGGAAGGGAAGCAAGTATCAACAACCTCCTCTCCCAGGCTGGCTCACAGGTTTACTCCCTTGGACAATTCTAAAAGAGTTTCAACACACCTAAAATCACACAGCTACTTGGACTCAAACTGAGGGTTTGAACCCAAATGTGCTATTTGCTCACTGTTATATATATACAGCCTCAGTGGAATTTTCGGGAGAGGAACCATCACCCTAAACACCTTCCACTTCCTTTTACCCCAGCTTTCCTTGATATTTAAACAATATTCCTAAATCAGCCAAAAATGGCAATTAAAGCTATTTCACATAGGAATTATTTTAAGATGAAATAAAGTGCAACAGTGGAGATGCTCAACTATTTCACTTGAAAAATGTCCAGCCTGGCCTGGCCCAGTATCACCATGGTATAATTTTCTGATACTAAAATTCTGAGCCTGAAATTATTGGGATAGTCTTAATCTACTGGACATCACACCCTTCCCTCAAATAGAAAAGAATTCCCACATGACCTTATTGCCTATCTGATTACTCGTCTCTCTTTCTCTCTCTCTCTCTCTCTCTCTCTCTCTCTCTCTCTTTTGGGGGGGGGTCTAGGGATGGCTGGTCAACCTCAGAATTAGGGAGATGTACATTTTATATTCTATAGTCTTCTCCATAGCTGCCAGTTCCCCAGTACTGCAAAAGAACACTGGGCAATCTAATCAATCTAATTCAAGCTAGCTGTTCTGGAAACTAAGTTTCCTCATCTATAAAAAGATCAAATTAGACTATATAATCTCCAGTTCCAGTTAAATAAATGTCTGTAATCAGCACATGCAAAACCAAACATCTCTCTACCTCATCTGTGTTCCCTAACAGAGAATGACATTTCTAACAGGTGTCCAAGCCAAAAACCTGGGGTTATACCTGCCCCCTGACCCTCATCTCACCAAAATCATCTAATCCCTACCACACACACATGCAGTATCAGTCACTATTCCCACATTTATATTTCCAGGTGAATCTCTCCTCTGAACATCAGACACCTCCAAATGCCTCCTTGATATCTCTGTCTCTATGGCCAACAGGCATTTCCAGGTAGTATTGCCGAAACTGTGCTATTGATGTTATCCTAAACCTGCTCCAAACCCCACTATGCCAGTTGCTCAGACCCCCAAAAATTAGAGCCATCCTTGATTCCTCTATCTCACTCCGCACATCCATGATAAAAACAATTCTGTTTGTCCAGCTTAGAAAATACACCCAGAATTCTATTACCACTTACCACCCACACTGTGACCTAAGCCATTGTCACATTTCGCTCACCTTCGTGTTGTTCCCAACACAGCAGCCAGGATGATTCTTTAAAATATGAGATCATGTCATGCTTCAGCTCAGAATCCTCCATTGGCTTCTCATCTAAAACTTTTTTTATTTTAATGTGGAATGCCTCATGAATTTGCATTTCATTCTTGCTTAGGGGTCATGCTGATCTTCTCTGTATTGTTCCAGTTTTAGCATATGTGCTGCTAACGTGAGCACTCTCCTAAAATTTAAAGCTAAAGTCCTTACCATGACCTACAAGGCCATATGAAATCCAATTTTCTTACCCACTACCTTACTACCTGTATTTGTCAGTGTTCTTCAAAGAAACAGAACCAGTAGAAGATTTTATATACATACATACATACATGAGAGAGAAATCATGTCAAGGAATTGAGGAATTGGCTCACATGATTGTGGGAGGCTGGCAAATTTGAAATGTGGGGGAGGCTGGCAAGCTGGAAATTCTTGGCAGAAGTTGATGCTGCAGTCTTGAGGCAGAATTTCTTCTGACTCAGAGTATCTTAGCCAGTTCAGGCCGCTATAACACAATACCAAAAACTGTGTGCCTTATACACCACAGAAATTTATCCCTCACAGTTCCAGAAGCTAGAAGTGCAAGATCCAGCCACCAACAGATATGGTATCTGATGGATGAAAAACTGTTCCATTCATGTGTGAACCCACAGCCCAGCCAGCTTGTCTTCTTGCTGTCCTCACATGGCAGAAGGGGTAGAAAATCTCTCTGGTGTCTCTTTTATAAGAACATTTAATTCCATTCATGAGGTCACCACCTTCATGACATAATCGCCTCTCAATGGCCCCATCTCCAAATACCACCACACTGAGGGTTGAGTTTCAGCATAAGCCTGGAGGGGTCAGAAACATTCAATCTACAGCACAGTGAAAACTCAGCTTTGCTTTCAAGGCCTTCATATTGGATGAGGCCTGTCCATATAATCAAGAATTATTTTCTTTTATATAAGGAGTACTGATTACAGCAATGTTAACCACATCTTCAGTAACACCTAAACTAGTATTTGACTGAAACTGGGAATTATAGCTTAGCCATGGTGACCTCTCAATGTAACCATCCTCACCCTCTTTCAGTTCACTCCAGCAATACTGGTCCCCTTGATGTTCCTCAAGCCACCACACGTTTCCAACTCGAGAACTGTTTCTTCTCCAGAATGCTCATCCTCTACATGATCACAAGGCTAGCTCACTCTTTCCTTTTAGTACTTTTTCTTAGGTCTTTTCAGAATTTCTCACTTTATACATAAAATTGTATTTATGCTTACACAGCCATATTTTAAAAGATTCCATGTCTTCATCTGTTCTCTACTATTCTCCTTGGCAATTATCATTAGGGAGCATACTATATATTTTGGTTATTTGTCTTCTTTGTTGTCTTCATTCCTCCTAGAGCATAAGCTTCCCAAGGGAAGAGATTTGGTTTTTAAATTATATTTAATTGATTATGCTATTACAGTTGTCCTAACTTTTCTCCCTTTGCCCCTCTCCACCCAGCAACCTGCCTCCCTAGGCAGTCCCTACACTATTGTTCATGTCCATGGGTTATGCATGTAAATCCTTTGGCTACTCACTTTCTTATACTGTACTTTACATCCTCATGGCTATTCTATAACTACCTATTTGTACTTAATCCCTCTGCCTTTTCCCCCCTACCCCTAACTACCCCCACCCCTCTGGCAACCATCAGAATATTTTCCATATCTGTGCTTTGGTTTCTGTTCTGGTTATTTTCTTAGTTTGTTTTTTAGAGTCAGTTATTGATAGATTTGTATTTATTGCCATTTTTGTTCATAGTTTTGATCTTCTTTTTCTTAAATAAGTTTTTTTAACATTTCAGATAAAAATGGTTTGGTGATGATGGGCTTCTTTAGCTTTTTCTCATGTGGGGGGTTCTTTATCTGCCCTTCAATTCTAAATGATAGCTTTGCTGGGTAGAGTAGTCTTGGTCATAGGTCCTTGCTTTTCATCACTTTAAATATTTCTTGCTAATCCCTTTTAGCCTACAAGGTTTCTTTTGAGAAATCAGCTGACAGTCTCATGGGAATTCCCCTGTAGGTAACTAACTGCTTTTCTCTGACTGCTTTTAAGATTCTCTCTTTATCTTTGGCTTTTGGCATTTTAGTTATGATGTGTCTTTGAGTGGGCTTCTTTGCACCATCTTGTTTGGGACTCTTTATGCTTCCTGGACTTGCATGTCATTTCTTTCACCAAAGTAGGGAATTTTACTCTCATTACTTTAAAAAAAAATATATATATATATACACAATTTCTTGCTCTTTCTCTTTTCCTTCTGGCATCCATATGATGTGAATGTTGGATTTCTTAAAGTAGTCCCATGGGTTGCTTATACTATCTTCACTCTTTTGGTTTCTCTTTTCTTCTTATTGTTCTAATTGGTTGGGGTTTTTTGTTTGTTTGTTTGTCTGTTTGCTTCCTTATGTTCCAAATAATTGATTTGGTTCTAGGCTTCATCCACTTTATTGTTGATTCCCATCTACTTTAGAAGTTGTTCTTTATTTCAATTAGTATATCCTTCATTTCTGCCTGTGTCTTTTTTATGCTGTTGAAGTACCCACTGAGTTCCTTGAGCATCCTTATAACCAATGTTTTGAACTCTGCATCCGATAGATTGCTTATCTACATTTTGTTTAGTTCTTTCTCTGGAGTTTTGTTCTGATCTTTTATTTGAGCCATATTTCTTTGTCTCCTCATTTTGGCACCCTCCCTTTGCTTGTTTTTATGAATTTGGTAGAGCTGCTTGACTCCCTGTCTTGGTAGCATGGCCCAAGGTAGTAGGTGTTCTGTAGCGTCAAGTGGCACAGCCTTTTCTATCACCCAAGCTGGCACTTGAGGTGCACCCTCTATGTGGGATGAATACACACTTCTCTTGTAGTTGAGCCTTGATAGCTGTGGGAAGGGCAATGGGAGGAATTTGCCTAAGCCAGTTAACTTCAAGGACTGGCTGTGACCACTGACCATCAACCTCTGCTCTCTATGGAGGATCAGCTGTGTAGGGCCCAACTCCACAGAGCAGGACTTACTTCCGCAGGGCTCTGGTGCCTACTGAGTCTGTCCTTTGAATGTGTTGCTTGTGGAGGTGGTTGGGTGGTGGTCTCTAACATGAGCTATAACTGTCTACTATGTGTACAGACTCTGAATTTTCCCAGGAGGCACAGGCCAAGGTCAACCATTACCTATGTTCTATCTGGGGCCACTTGGCATAAATTACAAAGCAATCTTCAGATGTCTGTTGCTTTGTGCTGGGATGGAGGTGCCCAGGCAAGGCCAGACTGTGAACCAAGGCCAGGTGCTACTAGTGCTGGACCTGGGGCCACTTAGCAAGAGATATGGGGACTTGATGAGACCAGAGGCTGCTTGTTTGAGAGGATTTAGGAAGGTCTGGGGCTGGAACCTTGTAAAACAAGGCATTCTATGAAAAAGCCATTGTTAATAGCTTCAGTGGGCCTGTAAGTTTTGTGGGACAGAGCCTCAAGGAATTACCAATGTGGGGCAAACAGTGTGAGCCAAATTGATGGAGTCTCAGATATGGTGCCCGCTGCTCTGTGGTTCTATGGGGGGGGGGTTCAGGAAAGGAACAATGGCCTCTACTAGCAGTTTTGTCTGGGAGAAAGCTGTCTCCTGCTCTTGCCCTGATGCTAGACACCTCAATTCCTCCCTGTATGCTACTGGTGCCTTTCAAGCTGCTGCCCCAGTTCTAGAGCTCAGAGGGAGTGAGTCTGAGTAAGTCTGTGCATGGGCTCTTTAAGAGGAACTGTTTGGGCATCTGACTCAATGTCCAGTGGTTTTTTTAGTCAGAAGTTACAGGGACTTATCTTCCTGGCACTGGAACCCTGGGCTGAGGAAACTGCTATGGGGCTGGAACCTCTCCCAAGATATTCCTCCTGATTTGTATCCACAAGCCGTTTCACATTTCCACATCCCTACCCTCCCTACCCAACTGGATGGATGTTGTTTCTTCTTTAATTCCTTAGTTGTGAACTTCCATTCAGCTCAATTTCTTATGCTTCTCGTGGTTTGTTTTTTATGGATTTTGTTCACTGTGATATCCTCAATGCCTGGAACACTCCCTAAAGTATACCTACTGCCATACACACGTATGTATATATACATACACACACATATAAAACAAATGCTCATTTCTTCTATTATTCTATCTTCTAAATATCTCTTTGCCACAACCTTCATTCAAGCCACAATCACCTCTGGCCTGGATTCCTGAAAAGCATAGCTAGCCTCCCTTTATCAGCTCCCACCCTCTTTCCAATGCATTCTCCATCCTACAGTATTTCTTAATCTGGTAATAGTATCCCCTACTCAAAAACTTTTACTAGCTCTCATTGATGCTGAGATTCTGAGTGATTGAGCCTCTTCCTTGTCCTCTCTCTTTTCTCTCTGTCCCACACTCTGTTCTCTAGACAGAACTTCCCATTCCTTGAATGTGCCACAATCTCTCACTTCCCCGTGCCACTTCACACAGTTTCCTATATCTGGAACACTCTTACTCCCTTCATCATCTGGGAAACCCCTGCTCACCCTTTAGGTCCCATTTATGGCTTGCCTCCCACTCACATCTTCAGGACTGAGTAATATGCCCTTCTTGTCAGTTCATATAGCTCCTTATATTTAGGAATGTCATAGCACTTCACACCATGTAGAAAGTAAAAAGGAAAGATTTCTGTCCTCCCAAGGAAATAGGTAGCCAGAAAGCAGAAGTAATCACAGTAACTTAATTTGACAGGAAATGATGAAAGACAGGATGGCAAATGGGGATGAGGTGAGTAAAGATGTCACAATATTTTCACAGTGGAAGAGATCAGAAAACAAAAGCAAAAAAGGTCCTGTAGGCAGGATGAGATTGGAATCAACAGAAAGGAAGAACAATTTGGGAGACAAGGAAAGAAAGGTCCAGAAGCAGACTATAGAGATCAAGACTTTTTCTTTGTTACTACAGGAAAGAAGTAGTATTGATAAATATGCTGAGGCTTTCTATGAAGTGTGAATTTGGGATTTGCTTGGACAGATTCTAGGTTTTGGAACCTTCAGGAGAACTTTATATGACCTTTGATGCTACCTAGTACTCCTTTGTCAATTTGGCAGTACACAGACCCCCTGGTGATGAACTAAAAAACCTCTTCAAGAAAGAAAAAAGTATTTATTTGAAG